AGAAAAATATTGTTTAAAATATTATTAATGTTTTATATTAGACTTTGCTGAATTAATTTAGATCTAGGAGTTCTTTTATAGATCCCTGACAGTAATAGCTATAGATAAGGACAGTTTGACAGCTTTGTTTTTGATATATATCCTTTATTTTTTGTCCTTGCTTTTGATAAATAGTTCTACCCTCATAAAGTGAGTTGGGAAGCATTCCCTCCTTGTTGGTTTGCCGAGTTTGTATATAATTGGCATTAACTTCTTCCTTAAAAGTTTGCTTCAATTTGCCAGTGTAGCCATTTCGATGTGAAGATTTTTTAGCAACAAATTCAATTTCTTCAAATATATTCTATCATTATTTCTTTCATGTGTGCAGGTCTATATTAGTGTTCCTTCTTTCATTCCTGACATTAGAAGTTTGTGTTCTGTTTCTTTCTTCACCTGAGTAGTTATTGATTTGTAAATGTTGGTGATCTCTTCAAAACTTAAATCACATATCCAGTTTTTCTCCCTTACTGGGAACACCAAACTATTTGTAGCCCTTTGAAATTCCCATTTGGCCTTATGCTTTCTTTAAATGCCAATATTTTGGTTTGCAACTTCCTTTTCTTTCTCTGTTTTTGGAAATCTTATTTCCGAAGATTCAGTTCAAATTTTATCTATTATAAGGAAGCTTTCCTAAATCTCTTAGAACACTCCCGTTAGGAAAAATCTTTCCCCTCCCCTCCCCTTCCCTCCCCTCCTCTCCTCTCCTCTCTCCTCTTTCTTTTTTTGAGCCAAAGTTGTCTTATTTTGTAGTTCATTCTAGGGTTGAACTCTCTATGTAGCTCAGGCTGGCCTCCAACATGCAGAGATCCGTCTTCCTCAGCTCCTGAGTACTGGGATGACAGGTATGTATCACCTTGCTTGGCTAAATCTTTTCTTTCAAACTTCTGTATATGAATAACTTTTATCATTGCACTGAAAACCTTATATTATAATTGCTTATGTAGCTACTGCCTCTTCTGGAACTTAATAAACCCTCAAAGAGAAGAGGTTATTGTTTGTTTTGATGTGTTTATGCCTTTTTTACTTTGGCAATAATTTTTATTTAAAAGATGAGTACTAACAATTGCCAGTAAGAGCTTGCCTTATAAAATGTTACTTCAATATACAGTTGTCTATGTGAGGTGATTTTGGTGAAGCTAAGGAAACCCCTGTTTGTTTCATACCAGCATTTGATCATCACATCACTACAATCCTTACTTACTCACTGGTGCTTGCAGTAAAATCTGCTTTTCCACACTTTGTTATATACTAAATACATATAAGGCTGGAAGAAGAAATATCTGTTTTGAAATATAAACTGAGAGACTGTGCAGGGTCACCTTGGACCAGAGCACAATGCCAAACAGGAGAGCAGGTTTAGAGTTCATACTAGAGCAGTGTTTTTGCTGAGTTTTTTGCTAGACTATACAATTCGTATGTTCATTAGCAATTGCAATCCAAAGATGGCCTGAAGAGTGTGAGAAAAAGGTAGTTTTAAAGTAGGAGTCAGATTTAGTGGTGCATATTCCTCTCTCTACCACATATCACTTTTCAGAATGCTAAAGTTCAGAAGTGAAAGGTCCTATTTTCACTGAGCAACTCAATAATGCAGGAAATGAGCAAAGACAATGGCAACTTCTGTAATACTTATCCTTCAGTGATAACTTTAAAATAACAGTGATTGATGATAATGTAGTTTTTGTGTTTTAGGATCTTGTATTGCCTTATATGTATTTATAGACTATTATCTAAATGATATTCCTTATGTTTTGGGGTGTTGGTAAGTTTTTATTCTGAAATTATTTCGAGGCTTATTAGTACCTATTTCAACATACAAAAATTATTTTCAGTTTTTCAAACATGTACGAGAATACTCTTACATAACCCAGGTATAATAGGTTGTAATGGTTTACTTTCTGTATTCTCCTATTGTCTCCAAAATTTTATTTGCCATTATTGTTAATTTTAAGATAAGTAATTAATAGACTTTTATTAGAGCAGTTTTAGATTCCTGGTGGTACATACAGAGATTTTCCATATATGGTGAACATGAAAAATATCCCTCTTTATCAACACCTTCCACTAGAATGGTACATTTATCACAGTTGAAGAATCTACACTTTTGGCACATTATCATCACCTGAAGTCCATAGTTTGAATTAGAGTTCACTCTTGGTGTTACATATTCCATGGGTTTAGACAAACATTTAATGACGTGTTTGTACTATTAGGTATCATAGCGAGTAGTTTCACTGTCCTCTAAATTTTCTTTGCTTCACCTCCTCTCCGTCGCCTCTGGAAACCCCTGATCTCAACTGTTTTGGTAGTTGTATTTTTGCAGAATGTCATACAGTTGGAATGATACAGTATATAGTCTTTTCACATTGTTTTTTTTCACTTACTAATATGCTTTTAAATTTCCTCCATGTCTTTTCATAGCTTAATAGCTCATTTCTTTTAAGAATTGAGTAATATTTCATTTTCTAAATGTACCACATTTCATTTACCCATTCAACTATTAAAGCACATCTTATGCTGCGAAGTTTTGACCATTTTGAGTCAAGTTATTATCATCTGTACATAGATTTTGGTGTGGATTTAAGTTTTCACCTCCTTTGGTTAAATACAGAGGGATGTGATTGCTGGGTTGTATGAGTGTTTTTGGTTTTGTAAAAAGTCACCAAAGTTTCTTTCAAAGTGGCTTTACCATTTTTTATTCTCACCAGCAGTGAATGAGAGTTCCTATTTCTGCATATCCTCCCCAGATTTCAGTGTGTAGTGGTATCTCATTGCTGTTTTACTTTGCATTTCCTTGCTGAAATGTGGTGTAGAGAATATTTCATATCCTTATTGCCATCTATGTATCTTTGCTGAGCTGTCCTTCAAAGTTTTGGACCCATTTTTTGATCTGTTCATTTTCCTATTATTAGTAATTATTAGTTTTTAAAAGCCTTTCCATGTTCTGAATAACCATCCTTTATGAGATATATCTTTGGCAAATACTTCCTCCCAAACTGTAGCCGGTCTTTCATTCACTTAATAGTTAAATATTCATTGCTGGTATATGGAAAATAATTGATTTTTATATACTAAGCTTGTATCTGGAAATCTTGCTACAATTGCTTATTAGTTTCCTGAGGTTTGTTTTGTTTGCCCCTCCCACTCTCACCCCATACTGGGTGTTGAACCCAGGGCCTTCGCGCACTGAGTGATATCCCTAGTCCTCCCCTGACTCCTTTAAGATTTTGAGACAGGGTCTTAAACGTCATTAAGTTTGTCCAACTGTGTGAAACGCGTGATCCTCTTGCCTCAGCCTCCCAGCATGCTGGGATTACAGCTAGTGTCATTCTTAAACAAATAATTTTTTTATCTATTGCTTTCTTTTCTTGTCTAATTGCATTGTTAGAGCTTCAGTTTGAGAAACAGTGATGAAGTAATCTTCCTTACCCTGTTTTAGGTCTTACAGGGAAGCTTTGGTGTCTCATCACTAATTATAACATAAACAATAGGGGTTTTTTTTGTAGGTAACCACTATCAAGTTGAGAAAATTCACTTCTATTTTCAATTTATGAGAAAAATTTGAAATACCATGAAAGTGCTAGATTTAGTCAAATCCTTTTTCTGCTTCTATTGATAATAATCATATTTCTTCTCCTTTAGTCTGTTGATGTAATAGATTACACTAGTTAATTTTTAGTGCTGAACCAGCCCTGTGTACCTAGGATTAGTCCACTTAGTCATGGAGTATAATGCCTTTTATATTCTTTGATTTGATTTTTGTTAATATTTTGTAGAGGATTTTTTAATGTGTGCTCATGACAGATATTCATTTATAGTTTTTTTTCTTGTAATGTCTTTGCCTGATTTTTGTTTTAAGGCAATTCCCATTTCATAGAATGAATTAGGAAGTATTCCCTGTGCTTGTATCTTCTGAAAGATTGTACAGAATCAGTATAATTTGTTCTTCAATGATTTGGAAAAATTTATCCATGAATGCATCTGAGTTTGGTGCTTTTCTTTTGGAAGATTATTAATTATTGATTGAATTTTCTCAATTAATATAGATCCATTCTGATTGCCTATTTCTGTGTGAGATCTGGCAAATTGTATCTTTCAAGGAATTGATGTGTTTCACTTGGGTTATAATATTTTTGGCATGAAATTATTCATAATATTCCTGTGAGCCTTTTAATGTCATGGAATCTTTAGTGATATCCCTTATTTTATTTAAAATATTATAAGCTTGCACCCTTTCTCTTTTTTTTCCTTAACTAGTCTGGCTATGGCCTACTAAGTCTTTCTTTTTCATCAAACTAGCTGGGAATTTGTTGATTTTCTTTATTGATTTCCTTTTTCCAGTTTCATTGATATTGCTCTAATTTTATTAATTATTTTCTGCTTCTTTGAATTTAATGTGCTCTTCTACTTCTTTTATTATAAGCTGGAATTTCAAGGATGGATTTTAAATCTTTCTTCTTCTGTGATTTAAACATTTGATACTTTAGATTTCCCAGTAAGTAATACTTCTTTACTCAACATAAAATTTGAATTACATTTTAATTTTTATTTAGTTCAGGGTTTTTTAGATTTCTTCTTTTACCCATGCATTATTGTGTGTTATATAATCTCTAATAATTTTGGGATTTTTCAATTACCTTTCTGTTACTGATTTCTAATTTAACTCCACGTGGTCTGAAAGTAAACACTGCATTGATTTCTGTTCTCTTAAATTTGCTAAGATGTGTTCATGGCTTAGAATGGGTTTATTTGGGGCAGAGAAGAATTCAGAGCAAGGTAAGTTATGAGAGATAAAGAAAGCAACTACCCTCATGAACTCTTCTCTGTCCAAAATTTATGTAATTATTCCTGCTTTATTTTGGCACAAGTTCCATATAAACCCGAGAGGTATATGTATTCTGTTGTTTAGGAAGGAGAAGTACATAGATGTCAATTACATCCAGTTCATTGATGATTTTGTTGAGTTTAGCTATGTCTTGTCTGATTCTGTGCATTCTAAATTTGCCCATTTCTGATAGAGAAGTGCTGAACTCTCTATCTATAACAGTGAATCATTCTATTTGTCCTTATATTTATGGTGACTTTTTATAGACAACATATAGGTAGATCTTGCTTTGTGATCCATCCTGATACCCTGAAAAATTGATGTTCAATCACTCAAACCTTGATGTTAGAGTGATTGCTTGTATACTTGATTAATATCTGTTATAGCTATTACAGTTTTCTGCTTGTTGTTCATGTTTTTGTTCACACATCTTCCATTCCTTTCTGCTTTTTATGGCTTTATTTTTATTCTTATAATTATCGATACACATTAATTATACAAATTACTGGGGTTCACCGTTACATTTCCATATATGTGTACATCAGTCATTGATCATGTACATCTACACATCTTCCACCTTAGTCCCCCTACCACTGTCTCCCCAGCACTAATACTACCATTTTTACTTTCAGGACATTGTTTCGCTCTCATATAACAGGGGACAAGCAGTATTTGTCCTTCTGTGTCTGGTTTATTTTGATTAAGACAATGTTTTCCAGTTCCATCTAACTTCCTGTGAATCACATGATTTTATTTTTTATGGCTGAATAGTACCCCATTGTGTAACTTTTTATGATTTTAATTGAACATTTTCACATGATTTCATTTTATTTCCTTTTGTTTAGCATATCACTTAGAATTATTTTTAACTTTCAGGCTTTTGCAACACACATTTACAATTAGTCCAAATCCACCTTCAAATAAAACTACTATTTCATGGGTAGTGTGAGTACCTTAAATAACAAAATAATATTAGTTCTTCCTTCTTGTTCATTGTATCATTGCTTTAAAAAATCCTAAAGTACAGCAATTTTTTAGGAACCAAGTTTGAAAGTGATTAGGGCTATCTTGATGATAAGACATTCTATAAAACTGGAGGGGAGGAATGCATGTGAATCTCAGGAACTATGGAAGTAGGAATTTGCAGTAGGTAAGGATCTTCATCTATGTTCCTCAGATTCTGCATATTTTTTTCTTTTCTCTTCCAAAATATGAAAAGGAAGAAGGGAGATACATGCCTTTTTCTCAGTTCTGACTGTAATATTCTTGAGAAAAGACAGTATTTTATTCATCTGCATGAGGTGCCCACCTTTGTTTCAAACAACTTTAATGAGGGAGTGGCAGCAGAAGGAAGGAGACCAACTCATATGACCACCCCCCCACAGCAGACACTCCTTACAGGAGACCCCTGCAGTTAGGTTCCAGTACCCATCTGCCCAGTATATGACACAAGCTTGAGAAAAAATATACTAAGAGATAGAACTAAGAGAGAGGAAGCAGGGTGCCAGGACAACCAATGCTGGTGCAGACAAAGGCCCTGGCCAGTCCCAGGCACTGACTTATCAGCAATCAATTGGGGTAAAGACAAGCTACGTGCAGTTTCTATGGGAATCAATGTAAACAAGGCTCATAAAAGACAAGACAAACCATTCTCAAATTAGAACAAAATAGACAAAATATATGGCTGTAATTAGAACACTGTCCTTCAAATTAGAGGGTTTAGTTGTGGGAGTGGAATTTGAATTTAGTTGTGGGAGTCACTCTGACCTTGGCACATAGGCTTTGGCCAGACTCACTCCTCAAAACAAGCCAATTGTGGGGTTAACTCTTCCCAGCCTGCTTTGGGCATAATCAATATTAAGGTCCTCTGCACTCCTCACTGGGGAAGGGAGTCAGAAGGAAGAAGAGATCTAAATTTAAGTTGCTGAAGAAATTAGATGTCTCATAAATGGGAAAAATCATTGATTAATCCTTTATGAATTTAATTTTCAAGGTATTAACATTTTTTATCCCTGAATAGCATAACTTCTAAATTTTCTTGTAGTCATTTTGCTAATTTTAGTTGACTTGTCTTGTTGAGTAAGACTTTGAGGAGCAACAGTGGCTTCCACTCTATTTGAGTATTAAAAATTAACTTCCTTGTTCTTTCCTAAATATTTTCTAGCTTCAGCTAATTCGTGTATGGATGGAAAGCAAATGACGGAGAACAATTCCTCCGCCCTTACAGAAGGTAATACACTTTCATATTTAGTGGCCAGCACCGAAGGGACGGAGGGTTGAACCTTGTTAGAAACAGTAGCTGATGCCCTGTCTGAAGTCCAGCCCTCTGACTACTTGAGGAATATGTTGGTCTGAGTATTTGGTATAAGGGTTTCTGAATGACCCACTCTCCAGATGTTCCCCATACAAGGCATGGTCTTACTTGCCTCTAGACATTTGCCTAGTTGGGATAGTGGAAAGCTCTATTAAAGTCCAACTTCTTTCTTCATCTAGTCATGTGATCTTTCTCTGCCATGAAATACCAGGGCTTGGTACCCAGAAGAGATAAGTGACACTAAAACAGGAAAGGAGAAATATTCAATAAAGCATTTAACAAAAACAAGATTCATCACCAAATGTCTGTCCCACTATAGGTGGTCTTGCTCATATTTAAGTGACAACATCACTGATACTCACCTTTCTCATAGAGGAGTTGTGACAGATGCTCGGTTCAGTAATCACCTGAAGCAAACCCCTGTCAGTCAGAGACACCTTATGTCAGTTTGTGGGCAGTGTGAGGTACTGTGTCGGATAATGGTTTTAAGTTACAGGGCTTAATCATTATTTTAAAAGTTGAACACAAATGCTCCATTTGTAAATTTACTTCAAATAATTAGATTGAATGTAGGAACAAAATTGATGTGCAATTCACAGATAAACTCTTTTGTAATATATGTGTGACTAAACAAAGAGAAATATCTAAAAGCTATTTGATAGTATCACACTTTTTCTACAAAATTATTTCTATGAAAAAATTACAAAGGAAAATAAATCTGGTCTTTCCTTGTTTTAAAATTTATACACCATGCAAGTGTTCCACCAGAAAAAAATATTT